AAAAAAAAAAAAAAGAGAGAAGGAGAAAAGAAAAAGAAAATTTATCAAATTTCTCAGAAACTATTGTTGGGAAAAGACCGTTCACCCTTGTTCTTCCAAGCAGCAAGTTGGTATGTACCGTCAAACAACTCCGGGTTCCCACTCCAGTTCGAGGCTATGGGGAGTATTTAGGGCCAGGGTCGTTCTCCAGTGACTCGACTTTAGAAGGCTTGGTTGGATTTCCCTGGAGCCTACAATGGATGGTCCACCAAACAGCATACTAGCACGCTCCGCTAGCCATCCTTCCCTCGTGGATGTCTCGCCGGGACTGCTCACGCTCGTCCATTAGCGTACCACTGAGTGGAGATGATGCGACGACGTACGACAGCCCTGGTCCTGATTCCTGACAGGGGGGCAAAGGTCAACGAGGATCGATTACCTGAGCTAGTTGCAGCACACTGACAGGTTTCTGACGGCCGGTTTGTTTCCCTTGACCCGATACCTGCCTCTATCCTACCTATCTATCCACTTGACTACTTCCGTATAATACGCACCCTCTACTACAGTACAAGTTAACTTAACTCATTCTTAGGATCTCGTACATACGTAAGAACTGGTCGTGGGATCTCCCCGCTTTTGTTGATCATATTCTTGTTTGTATGGGAATCCAAGAGCGCGGGTTCTCTAACCACACAATGTGAGACTCTTTGTTAGCTTAGTGTTTCATCCCGGCCATTCCTGGGTGCCCTATCTTTCTTTCTCCACGACTCGGTCATGCCTTGGCACTCTGCTAGACGGCTCGGTGAGTCGCAACCGGTGATCTAGCAACCTCGCCGTGTTGGCGGACTAGATGACCGTTGTCCCTTCTGGGCCTCCTCTGCAGGCTAAGCTTGACTGGAACGCAGGTCCGTCAAATGGCTGACGTGAATTGATTTGATTTTTTGGAGATTTGATTTTTCTCACTTTGATTATTTCGGGTTGGATTGATTTGAATTTATTTATTTGAATTTATTTTTTTTTAATCCAGAATTTTTAAGTTGGCTTATTTTTTTGTTTTATTTTATTTTCTAAACCTGGAGATTTGTATTTTATTTCCACCCTTTGTACCCACCTGCATCTTGCTCATTCTGGACGTATACTTCGGCTGTCTCGCTCAAATCCGAAATACTACTCACCTTGGTTTTTTCTTTTTCGTCTTTCCCATTTGCTGTTATCTTCCAGAACTTTTCCTCTACCGTCCACTATTGATATCGTTATATATCCTACAACCTATCAATTTGAACTTTGGTGCACAACAACGTAGACGGAGGGAGGGAAAGAGTCCAGATTTGTCGTGACATTCGTTATACCACAATTCCTTTTCCTGACGTTTCTGCATTATCAAGCAACGGGGGTCCACGGGTTGCAACCCGTTTGGAGAATTCTAATTGCTGATCATCTTGGATTGAAAAAAAAAAAAAGTACCTAAAATCCTTTACGACTCAGATCTGGCAAAGTCGATTTTCCCATTTCTTCTTGGACATCTTGCACCGGTTGAAGAACGAGAGCCTTTTGGAAGCGGTCTAGCTCGAGAAACCGTCGCATCCCCTGGTGAGCGCAATCTAATCCATCCCCTTTACCCAGCTTCGGTACAAGGCGACCGTACAGGTCGTCTTCATCTCACCCCTCTTCTAAATGATTCTGACCATCCCCTGATATCTCCGAGTTACCACCATTCCCCTCTTCCTCCTTGCCGTGACCCTAAACCGACCCCAGTACCAAATTCTAGACCCGTGTGTGTCTCTGACTCTGGAACAGCTTCGGGCCTTTGAACTTGGCTAGTAACTAGCAAATGCATGAGGCTTGGGTACTTTTGATCAAGGTCTCTGTATAGTGTATGGGGAGAGGGTGCTTTTCTTTTTCTGGTCCCACGTCTCAAGAATCAGCCCACTGTTTCCCATTCAAATATCGGTCTTTGTCACTCTTTCGGCGAAGTGTCATCTATCCGCGTTGACACCTCCGCGTCCCGCTCAGACGTACTTCCCTCTTTCTTTTATAAACGTGATCAGATAGCCTGCCAGGGCTTTTATGCTCTAGCAGCGCTGATGTATGTCTGCGACGCTGGCGGAATATCGAGACTATGCCATTGATTATGCTCAACATGCCAGCTGCAAGCCCGAGGAACATACAAGTACGCTTGTTTACCACACGCATCAGCCACAACTGCAACATCCGAAGCCGCCAGATACTCCTTTCCAGCAAGGAAGTTCGCGCAGCACGGCATTTGAGCACCATCATGCAAACGCGACCGTTCTCCCAACCGCGAATCCCCATGGACTCCCCCAACAAGTCGTTCTCACACCGGCCCAGATGCTTTCACGGCAGCTTCCGGTACAATACACACCGACCAGCTTCGATATCCCGTCGATGCAGCGGGGTAAAAAACGGCACCTTTCCGAAACTGAGGGAGAAGGCGATGACGCAAATCATGGGCTCAGGCCACAGTTATCCATCCTCCCATCAGAATCGTCTGCTGAACCGACGCACCACTCACCCGAGATGCTCTTCTCGGTTCATGGGGACGCTGGGCAACATCATCAGATGCAAGGCCACGACCTTGGACCGCAGGATTCGGTGGCCCTCCCACAACATCACCACCACCATCGTCTCCCCCCACACGCGTCATTACGCGACTCCCAGCGCCATGGTATGAATATGGAATCTTCTCCATTCCCCTCTGGCCCGCCAAGTGTGGTCGGTCAGCCTGGGATGCCCGAACCAGCACCCAGGCCACGGGGACCCAAGCTCAAATTTACGCCGGAAGAGGACGCTTTGCTGGTAGAACTGAAAGAGAACAAAAACTTAACATGGAAACAAATCGCCGATTTCTTCCCGGGACGAACAAGTGGTACATTGCAGGTCCGGTACTGCACCAAGTTGAAAGCTAAGGACGTGGCATGGAGCGATGAAATGGTGCGCATTTCCAACCCATATTGGTGTTACACAGGCAGGACAGAGGATACTGACTTTTTGTGGACAGGTCCAACGGCTACAGCGTGCAGTCCAGGAGTATGAGAACGACCGCTGGCGTATCATTGCGGGGAAAGTTGGCAATGGTTTCACACCAGCAGCTTGTCGAGAGAGGGCTTCTCAGCTTGAAAACCCTCCATCATAGTTACGAGTGGATGTGGTTCCATTAGCGCCGGCGTACGCTCCCCTAATATCTGCTTTGTTACGTCTTAATCATTACCACTTTCGTTTCTTGGTAGGCTGTAATGGGAATTTGGATGGCCACGGTTTAGCTCTATACCAGACAACTTGGTGAAAGGTAGAGGATAATGTATGTATCATATCCATTTAGCGATGCCCAACGTGAATAGTAATTCCATTTGTTTTTTCCAAGTTGCCACACGGTGTTTCCCTCCGAATATCAATGAGTCAACGACCATTGAGCTCCTTCTGCGTGAGCAAAGCACGATGTAGCCCTTGTGATAAACATCAGATGATGTAGATGCACGAACCCTAAGCCCTATCAGGCCTCGAATCGGGCAATTGGTGCCCAAGTGGTCAGCCCGGGCGGCCGTAGCAGCTCCGCAACCAATCAACCCGCACTGCTGACTATTCGCCCGACCACGGGCCGAAGCGGCTTCAAACTCACCTCAAACCTCCAAACTCCCTCTGCTCCAAACGTCCTCACCTCCCTCCTCCGCCGTTATAGCCCCAATTCACCAGGACAATGTTCCTCCAACGCACAGCCTTCGCCCTCGCACGGCGCACTCCCGTCAGGGCCGTTGCTGCCCGCCCTTTCTCCTCCTCCGTCATCCGCTGTACGTGAGCCCAATGCCAAATTCAAGACCGCCTCTTGAGAGCCTTCGTCGCAGTCACCACCCTTCCTGTGAACCCATTGGGTCCGGGAAATGGGATATGTCCACAGCCAAGGCAGTCTTGTTGACGTACTAGCTAACATTGAGTCTTTGTTTGCAGCCAACAAGGCGAAGTATGGCGTTGAGAAGGATGGCAAGATCCTTTCTTTCGAAGGTTGGTATCCAGACCCGTTGTCATACGATCGGCCAATGCCCGTCTATAGCCGTATACCCAATTCGTATGCTCTTGTAACTACGAATTATGTCATTGGAGTAACCCTCCATCGCAGTCCTATCATCTCTTCGACATTTTGATTCATCACCCACTACGCTATTGCAAACGATGCTGACCGGTTCTTTTGCACAACAGAGATCAAGACCGAGGAGGACCTTGTCCCCCCCGGTGCTAAGTCCGGTACCGTTCCCTCCGACATCGAGCAGGCCACTGGTCTCGAACGTCTGGAACTTGTCGGAAAGATGCAGGGCATTGATATCTTCGACATGAGGCCCCTCGATGCCTCCCGGAAGGGTACGCTCCCTTAAGCTCCTACGATTTTTTTTGGTGGTCTACATGCGTGTACATTCAAATGGAACCACTACAGTGATACCGACGTCGACGAACCCTGACTGACACGCTATGCCTTACAGGAACTCTCGAGAACCCCATCATCGTCAACGGTGCCGGTGACGAGCAGTATGCTGGTTGCACTGGTTTCCCCGCTGACTCCCACACCGTCAACTGGCTGACCGTAAGTCTTTGTATTGCCATTGAGTGGCATGCTCTGTACCTGCGCGCGGAATACTAATTGGATCAATGCAGGTCTCTCGTGACCGCCCCATCGAGCGCTGCGGCGAGTGCGGCAACGTCGTCAAGCTGAACTACATCGGACCCTTGGAGGATGCCCATGACCGTAAGTCTCCTTCGACTATTGAAGCTTTCCAAATACCCCTGCTTACTCAGCCCTACCAGACGATCACGGCCACGGCCACGGCCACCCCGCTCCCGAGGAGCCCAAGACTTTCGCCGACTACGTCAAGCCTGAGTACTGGTACCGGTAAAATTTTGACACAATAATAGCGCAGTCATGTTTTCGCCTCACGGGGAAAAGAACACAGGAATCATGAAAAAGAGAGAAGGGGGGTGGCTATATCTTTGTTGAATCCGGCATTTGTCTCTTGTAGAATAGTTGAGTTGAAAGAAGTGATTGGTGTCTAATTGATTATTAGTTTTCTTGCCCTTTTCTTTTTGCCTACATAGTCCAATAGGGCTAGCTCTAAAACTCTCTCCATGGTTATTTGCTAGCGAGACAAAGAATAATATCGGGTGGCATGATGCGGTAAGTCCGGGAAATTTACGTATCTCGATCACTATCACGTGCCAATCTTCCTTCCCTCCGAACCAATGTCTATGGTTGTATTTTCCGCTTACCCATGTCGCTCTCTTACACCTGTATGTCCAGAAATCGGATAATAACGATTATACTTATCTCACATATGTGATTGCACTAATGTCATTGTTAAGGATTGAGAATAACGGAGTGAGAAATAGCCAAGAGAAGTAGAGTAAGCTTTGTCACGGGTACAATACATGATTTATGCTGGGGCTGATAGACAGACTCCCAGAATAGAGATTAGCTGGGAAGATAAATGATTGTGTAGCTTTAAGGGCAAAGAGCGATATTATGCTCAGACTGTTACTTTTGGTGAAATCCACTGGATATGACATTTTGGTCTCTTGTTGTTTCCTGTTGGCTCAGGACGACGCTTATATGAAGCAAGGGATGGGCTTGGGTGTATGCACCTCTTCAAGATATGAGTCGACAGGAATCGGTTGATTGCAGGTATTCCGGAGATTCTTAGGCGTTTACCGGCCCAACATGCGCAGCTCGACATACCGTAATGGCGGGTATACAAGACCAGCCCAGGTGAATCCGACGTAGTTACCCATCTATCCGAGATTAGATATATCCTCTTAGGTTTGTTAGGGTAGTGAGGATAGCAATGTATCACTTACATCTGCGCCATATTCACCCACTAATCTAGAAAGAGGACCAATATACCATACTTGCGCCATGCACAGGATTGCGCCGACCCAACCGACCACGAAGGCAACAAACGCGGCGATGCCCACAGGTAGCTTTGAGGGGTCATTCCACACATTCCAGTTATACCCAGTACGGAGTCGGAAGATAAATCGCTCTTCGAGAATGATGGCGAACCATATTGCGACCCAGTAGCCCATGAGAGCGAGGAAATTGGTGAATATGTCGGAAAGGTTGCTTCGACCAACTAATGCGCAGACGGTGTAGATTATAACGCCGATGGTGTTCCATATAGCTCTCGGGACCTTTTCGGCGTACCGTCCAAGAACCTGGAAGTCGACACCGGCGGAATAGGTCGGTGGGATGGTATTTGCGATGAGTCCTAGCGCAACAACCACCGAGCAGAACTTGCCGAACCCATGGAGAGGCCCGAATCCTTCGACGATAAGTGCCCCTGCACCCCTAGAGTATGCTGCGCCATACTCTGGATGACTCGAGATACCAGATGCAAGTCCGATACCGACAAGAAACGCCATAGTGAATGATACAATGAGGCCTACCAATGAAAGTGAGAAGAGCGTCACTCGGGATGTTCTCTCAGGGTAATAGACGAAGAAGTCGGCCGCTAACGGGGCATAGGTGATTGCAGCACTGAGACAGATAGAGAAGAATGACAACCTAATGAAATGTAATCGTATCAGTCATGGCCACAGCAGCATAGCAAAAGTCATGAAGGCGTACCGATTCCCAGCGAGCGTGCGAGGATCCCCGATTGAAGGCGCGGACAGATCAAATTTTGATGAAGACACAGCGTAGAGTATAGAGACTACGATAATCTGGGGAAGGAATGCGAAGCTTGACGCAGTCAGTACACGACTAAACTCATTAAGGGCATCCACACCAACCGTTCATAGTAATGGAAGACCTGATAGCCGAACGTGGCTATCACCCAGCAACTGACTGCGATGATCACGATGCCTACCATTAGATCAGCACGTGTAATTGAAATTCTCAACACCATGACTACCTACCGACAGCTACCGACATGTTCCCATTTGGTGACACGGCAGATAAGATCTGCCCGCATACTACGCAATCAATTAAGGAGTACCCAAGCATTTGGATCAGATTCAGGATGACAACAATCTTGCTCGGCCACCACCCCATCGTATAGCGTCCGAATGCCTATATCATATTTAGTATACAGCATAATAGTCGGTTTAGCCTGGGGAAAGCCCACCATAGTCCGGACGCCGGAGACTGGCCCCCATGTAGCCATCCATGAGGCAACTAATGCGCCAACGAAAGCACCCAGAACCGCACAAAGTGCCGAATCCAGGAAGCTCAAGCCGTACACAACGGGCCCCAGCATTCCTAGGGTAATGTTGTTGGCCGCCAAATTGATTGAGACCCAGAGCAAGAACGCTTGCAGGTACGAGACCCAAGTCAACTTTTTCATCCGTTCATGTTGTTGCACCCTTTCAATACCACGGGCTTCCAGGTTGTATTCGATCAGTTGGTTTTCAAATCTCCTAACATATGCAGCAATGCGTGGCGACAAGAAAGGGCCGTCCGGCGCATCGCAACCCTCTCCATCATACTCTGCAGTATGGGACGGGTGATCAGTGAAGGGAGTCTTTGACGGTTCTTTTTCAGAGGTTACCCTTAGGGTAGACAGAGGAGGTTCCGAGGACATGCTACTACTATCAAGTCAGTATCAACCCATGTAGAAACTGAGGGTTAAAAAAGCGCGCATGAGTCCTTTCGCTGGAATTATCCAGATCAAGTTCAACCGTATATTCTCAGAACGACAACTGCTGCCACATCATCTACACCCACGTCCGAGGACAACAAGCCAAGAAACACACGAGTCATGGCCGGGTATATTGCATCAGATCTGTGTGTGACAGCGTTGCCGAACACCGGTCATCATGCAGGCGTATTACCTAGATACCTTGATCGACAGACAAAACCACGCTACTTGTCTTCATGATAGCCATCCCTTGCATAGAGATCCTGTGAGAAGACGGGAGAGTTGTACTCGGAACAATTGCTTTTTGTTTTTTCCCAACGACTTTGGTGAATCAGTTATTGCAACTACGACTTTGAAGACTCAAAAAGTTAGCCAATCGAGTTCTCAATTGGATCAAACGGAAATCTTTTCCTAGAAAAGGTGTGATGGAGTTCACCTGGGGGGTATATACACGAGCCCGTTGCGATACGGAGAAAGCTTGTCAGGGTTATGGACGCTTCGTGAACAAGACGACTCGAGTAAAGAAGTGGCAAAGGGAATGTCACCTTTTTTATTCTGAGAGGGAAGAAAGATTCCCACTTTCTTGCCGCGGGGAAGTCGTTCGGTTCTCCGCTCCGATAGCGGATTCCGCCAATGATAGGCTACCACCGTTATTGACGTACCTTTGAATCATGGAGAACTCAACATACATAAAATGACATAGGTGCGGAACTCATGGAGCTTCCAGTTGCTAGTGTAGAGATTGATCGCCGATTACATATGAATTAGGCGCAATATCTACAGTCGTTTGTTAAGACGGCATATTGGTAGAAGCACTGACGGGTCGGTCTATTTGTGCCTCTTCAAGGCTTGGATATGAGGCAGGTTCATCGCATTGGTTTAGAGGGTTATCATGGCTTGCGAATCAAGAGTTGTAAACGGCAAGTGGGGTATTCCAAGTGTAAAGGAAGAGAAGAGAAGAACAAAACGAAAGGACAGCAAGGCCAACTCCAAGCACTTCGCCAAGTAGTGTGCAAATTGTTGCCAAATAGAAATTGAAAATAAAAGAGCATGCATCGCCGTTGCGCGAACCCAGTTCCCCAGCAACATGAACGAACGTTTCAGATATCTCATGCACTGATAATCATGTCTTCGTCAAATTCCGCCGAACGTCTAGAGGTCCTTAAAGTGCTCTTTCGCATACTGTTCACATGCCTGCATCCATGTCAAAGATTGGACTCAGATTAGGATTCTTGGGGCTCACTTTTGCCGGTTTTCCAACTTTTTGCCCGATGACTTTCCATTTGCTCGCCTCATATTCCTTGATTGCCTCGCGGAGTGCTATAGACTGCATGCTGTCAGACACAGAATGATAAAAGAGGCCCTCTTCGAAGCGCTATAATTTACCTCATCTTCATCAAACTCGGCATAGTGCATATCCTAATTGGGAATATTAGTCACTGGATGATAACGCTATCCGGGATAATGGCTGAAACGCTACCTTATACCAGTGCTTCTTAACACTCCCTTCGGTTCGAGCAGGAAATGTCTATTAGTTCCAATTAGTAACATATCCGAGACCATGGGTAGGAGCCGACAGCGGCCTACCTTAGCAATCTCACTCCAGCTGCGACCGGCATCGCGCATTGTCTTTAGTCGCTGTTCTTCCTCCGCAGTCCACGGAGTGTTGGTCCTTCCTTTCTTCTTGGGCGGAGCTTCTGGCGCTCCTGGCCCAGGTTCAAGCGCGGCCTCGCCCACAGCGGCTGTAGACCCAGATGCTGTCATGGTTGCCGCAGTGCTTATCTGGGGCGAAGCACGGCGCTTTTTGGGGTTTGGGGGAGAAAGCTGGGGTTGGGGCATAGGAATGCCCTCGAATGAAGGCACTCTTTGAAATGGATTGACCTGCTGCGGAACTAACAGGTGAGATGGCGCGCTGGTCGATGGAGACGCCTTGACACGTTTGGAGGTTGGAGAGGTTCTAGCTGAGTGTCAGGGAAGAAGAAGCAGGAGTTGAGATGGTGAATTGTGTTAAGGAATGGTGAACAGTGACTCAGATGAAACAGGAATGACACAATATAAGTATACCAATCGAACGAGTAAGAATCATCAACGAACGGGTAAACTCAAGGCCATTCAACTGTGCAAGTCACATGTGACGGACCAAAGAACGAAAGAAGTAAAAGAAGCACATGACACAAGGACTATATATATACGGACGAAGAGGGCAAGGGGAGGCAAAGGCCGTTATTGCGCCGCACTACCGAAGCCTCTTTTTCCCCGGGAAGGGAAGGACGAGGAGGAACCAACTTACGACATGGTGGACGATGCGCAGTATTCCCAATCACGCTGCGTCGATTCATCTGTAAATATACATGCTTAAGAGATTAGCAATCTGTTACTCCAGTGTAGATTGGCCTGTCCAGTCCAGGGAAAGCAGCTCTTGGTTACACCGGGAAAAAAAAAAAAAAACAATGACGATGACACGGGCGCATCCCACGGTGTGGCAGTAGCGCTGCAGGATGTCAACCATGTACGGCACGTACAGGAATGTGAAAGTGGTTGAGTAGATTACGTGCATATGAATGCTCGGTGAGGTTGATGCTTGTACAGTATAGATGTGGGAGTTAATCGGGAAGGAAATGATAAGATATCAAACTTAACAGCGGGACCCGATGATGCAGGATGTTGAGGGAGATGGAAATCGGAAAAGGAAAATGATAGTTAACAAGGAGAAAAAAGTATATATATGAACAGGCTTAGGCACAATCATTCGAGAACTTTTCTGGCATAGGAAGAGCAGAAGGTGGAGGAGTAGCAGTATGGGGATACAAAGGCTGGAAATAGTACGATAGAGGAGGAGTACTGGATGAGCGACGATAAGATGATCCGGTCAGAAGAAAAGAGTGCAGAAGATCAATAGGCAGCATACGCACTGGTCAAAGTTCATGGCTGATGAGGGACTCTTTTTTCCTCAAGGGTTCGGATCAAATCAAATAGAAGGAAACAAAGAGGCGAAGTTACATGGAATAGAGAAATAAATGATACACAAGAGAGAGTATGAACGAGTGAGAAAAAGAAAAGGTGAAGGGTGAGCTGAGAGGAGAATACTTTACTTGTACAGTAAAGTTCCTGTACAGTTACAGCTGAGGGGCATCCAAATTAATTCTGTACTAGAGAAAAGCACCAATCCCGACGTCTCCGAGCTTGCTTTGCTTTTTATAATAAATCATAATAATTATTCACTTATTTTCTCCTTCCTTTATCCCCCCGTATTTAATCCATTCTGCAAGAAATTCACAAGAATAGCACACCTAACAAAAAGAAAAGAAAAGAAAAAAAAGCATGATAAAGAACGTTTCTACTAGTATTAAGGTCCTATTCTAACGGTTTCCTTCACCCTAAAATGTTCAAGGATACCGGAAACGGCGTATATACTACAAGCTTCAGTCTTCCAAATTCCTGTAGTATCAGATTCTCTGTAACGCTCCGATGATTATACTATGGTCGAGACTTCACGACTTAGCTTAATTTACCAGCCACCAAAGCCCTCCATGTCAAACACTAGGTAGGTGACAAACCAGCATTGTTGAACACTTAACGGGGTAATCTACAAATATCAGTCTAGACAAAACCGTGTCGGTCCATAGAGCTCCATTTCAACCCTGGTCTTTCTTTCCGGGCTAACCTGACAATGCTGCAGTTGTCCAGTTGGGGCCAAACAGTCTGACATCGCCTGTTGTGAGGGGCTGTTTACCCAGTGAGCTCTGGCCACCACCGACTACTACTAGGGCGACATTAATCTGTCTTACTTGGCAGGCAGGTAAATAAAAATAATAAAAAATAAAAAATAAAATGAGTACGCTCATGGGTAAGAATCAGGTTTGTCGTTTTTGAGTTTTCATCCCTTTTCAATCCGCGTACTCGAAATTAACTATGAAAAAGTGGGGTAACGCTCAACCATAAATCAATTAAGTATAGTTAATTGGTACCTGTGTGTCAACATGACATCTGCACCGTTAGATCAGATCATATTGCAAGGTTATATTGTGTTTATTATTATCGTTGTTGTTGTTATCCTTATTTATCATTTTCTGAATGCTTCTGTAAGAAACAATATATAAATAGAAGAAGGAGGTGGTCGTTGTTGTGTACATATAGTCATAGTCGGGTTCGTGCATATAATCTATATAGAGAGAGAGAGCAGAAGGGGCGCGTGATCTTTTAGCATCAACTTGACATCGGTTCTTGGAGTGATATCTTTCCATAGCTACTGTAGTAGATCTGCTTATTGGTGATGCCTTTCGAATCCTCGAGTCCATTAACTAACTCGATATACTGATCGGTACGATCTTGAATTAGAAAATAATGGTAGTGCTTTATACATACGGAGCACACCACTTAGTTCCAGCATGCGCTCAGAGGACTGATTGACGTCATCACTGATAAGAATAAGTCACGTGATGTACACGCGGCCCCGGATTCGGCGTGGATCCCGTGCTGCATGAGCTCAGCTCCCGTGCCTTCTGTGCTCTGGAGATACCGAGATACATGACACATCTGTAGGACAGAATCTCTCCGTGTCCTCTACGTGCTGACCGCCCTTTCTCCTGCCATCTGCTTCCTTCTAGCACGGCTTCCCTTTGGCCACGTTGTCACTTTATTGAACTCTGGTCGTGGTCGCACATTCCAATCTGTGGTTACGAAGCAGCAATTGTACAACACTACGCGAAGCTTTCGAGTACTATCCTGATAGCTTCGGGAAGGGCAGGGAATAGCGAGGTAGTAGGTCTCTTAGCAGCACTCGGACTGGCTTGATGGCTATTGCTTGGATAGTGTCGTGATTCGTGAACGTTGAACCCCTACCCACAAGCCATATACTTGAGAGACTCTGCGTTAGATAACACAATACGATGGACCCAAAGTGGAACATTTTTCGCATGTTAGGCGATCTCGCCCATATCTCTTCAAAATGCATCCTGCTGTGGGCCATCCATCGCAACAAGAGCGCGGAAGGTCAGTAAGCTGCCCCTAGTTTTTGTTAGGTATTATACTCACCGACTGCTTTTCATCACAGGTGTTTCGCTTCTTACCCAGGTTCTATATATGATGGTCTTTCTCAGTCGTTATCTTGAATTATTCCTAGGGAGGGGATGGGGGACCTTTTATCTCGTGTTTTTCAAGCTCTTTTACATCTTCTCTTCGGCATATATCATCTTCTTGATGATGAAGGTATTTCCCCGGACACGGGAAAGGGAGAGGGCATGGAAACTGGCTTTGGGCTCTGCTGCGGCGTCTTTAGTGTTAGCACCCATCTTGACGCTAATATTCAGGCATCCTTGGCCACAGAGATGGTTCACGGAGGTGAGTTAAACTAGGGATAGATAATTTGTTGTAAACTAGACTAACGATGCGGGGCCTGTGCTATATAGATTTGGTGGACATTCTCGATCGTCCTGGAATCCGTTTGCGTGCTACCCCAATTACTGCTCCTACGCCAGACCACCGTCCCCACTGTCATCGACTCCTATTATCTCCTTACATTAGGTTCCTACCGGGGATTTTACATTCTGAATTGGCTGTATAGGGGATTTGTCTCTCATTACTGGGACCCTATTTCAGATATTTTTGGCATCGTCCAGACCGCGTTCTACATTGACTTCGCTTGGGTCTACTACACGCGGCAGCGTGTGAAACTCCGCAATGGTGGTGTTGTAGACTCGGAGGATTTCCGGAACAGCTGGCTGGTCAACAAAGTGTTGAGTTTCAGGCAGCGAAGGAGCGTCGATGAAGAACAGCACCTGCATGATGAAGGAGCAGAAGTCGGACATGGGGCTGATGGTGAACGGCCGAGAAACAATCGCTGGGGAGCTCGAGGGATCAGTATCTCCGCAGATGACACACTAAACGAGAGTCGCCATCCCAAGCCCAGCAGTGCAGGTGACGACCGACTGGAGGGATTTCTGGAGGACGAAGAGGACACTTGGGAAGAGCACGCAAACCAGCAAACACAGCACAAGCATTCTCCTGATGTGACGGACAACCAGAAGTGATCAATTGAATTGACGACGGAGGAAGAATTTTTGCTTCTAGAAGGCTTTTTACTGCAGGTTTGACATGTGTGTATCTGTATTTCTGGTTTATTTTGGGGTTTGTGTCATCATGATTCTGACTTTTACATTCAAGTACACCTGACATTGAGATTTCGAAGTAGTAGCGATCGACTAATATTCGATGTGAGACTGAAATTGGAATGATGGATACTATTTTTGGAATTAAATCAGCCCTGTCAGGGCCTTAGGGACCCTGATTTGATATAATTATAAATGGTAATCTGCATGGGCCGGGAAGGGGAAAGAGGGGAGGGGCGGAGTTGAAGAGAGGGGGAAATAATTGGAGAAATGGACTGAAAAAATAGTAATAGCAAATAAGAACATCAGTTAAAGCAAGCCTATCCTTCCATGAAAGAAGCATTAATGAAAAAAAAGACCGTGGAACCGTTGTTTCAAGAATTGCTCTGAGCCATGGCTGCGCCATTTCATAGCCACGGACCCCATATCAAGGCCGTTGAGACTACATCCATGTTTGGTAAACAAAGGAAGGGGGCCAAGTCGAAGTTAGAGGACAAAACTGCCTGATCAGCGTTCGGAAGTCGGCTTTGGGGGTGGGAAAGAGGTTCGTGAATCCCTGTCCCATACTATTGTTTACTAAGTACCGAGGGCAGCGTGTGCAAACTGGTAAGCTATAGGTGATGGGCTGATGTTAATTTGAAATTCTTTTTAATTAGCTCTTCCCCTTCCAGTTTTAGCCCCAATCCTGTGACATCACGTGCCACTTCCTTCCCGTCACCCATGGAGATGCATCATTGCCATATCCGTCCTTCGTTTGCATGGATGGTGGTGAGAGGTCGACCAGAAAATTACACGACCATCAGCCTCAATATGCTGTGTTTGGGGGGCCGGAGAAGAGAGGGGAGGGGAGAAATGGGGTGTGTTCTTCATGATCATGGCGAGAAAAATATCCCGTGATTGATCTTGTTTAAGCGCTTGTGCCATCCCGACTCCCGAGATCCACCGCTGACGGTCTGGAAATGAGGGCTCAGAGCCAATCTCTCATCTCATCTGGCGCCTAACCATTTGAAATCGTCGGAGACACGTGGCGCTGGTTGGATCATTTGGATGCACACCACCGGGAGGATTCTTGAGGATTACTACCTTATGTCTGAGAGTCTAGGTCACTAACTTTGCTAGACTCAGCTGTTGAAAGAGTTGAAATGTCATCGTGGTGGTCAGAGCGAGCAATATCCCCAGTCCTGTCAATCCCGCTAATTTTGACTAGTTCGTTCCGAACCCACCGGGGATTTGCAGCCGCAGCAACGAAGCAGCGCTTAATGACCCGCTTTGGTTCTTCCGGAGCGGCCCATCCACAAGCTTTACCTGCTCTGGTGATGGGAAACTGGACCCTATGGGGGTATTCGAGTCTTAGTCGATGGAGCAAATGGTTCTATGTGTCTTGTGCCTCTCCATTCCATAGACTCACTCGTTCCGGATTTTGTCCAGGTAAGGAATCCTAGTTGATGACCCTATCATTATTGGGGCTACACACTAGTAGCTTATCTATCAACTTCTCCGGCCCTTTAGGCCTCCCCACTCGTGTAGTGACTAGAAGTCATAGAATGACCTTCGCTTGCATTGTGTCCGGGAAATTTGTTTTTAGTAATTTTTATTTTTCAATGTATTATTATTATTTTTTTTTTATTTGATTTGATTTGATTTTCTTTTCTAAATGTTTTTTTTTTTGTTCCTTCCAAAATGACCCTTCCTTTCAATTGAACCTGGCAAAAGTCTGTTTATTATTACTAGTATTTTATTTTCTTGTCAGATCCAGCGCTAATTTCCCCCCGACCGTCCTTCTAATTCTAGGATACGGCGGGCCGCTAAGCACCGATCCCATTCCTTTGCCATGATGTCCAACCCATGGTTTCCACCCCTGGAGATCCAGAGCACTGGGACTATGATCGCAGGTGCTGCCTTGCCATCGAACAGCCATGTGGGCCTTTGAAATGCAAAGTCTGCGCCCCCGAAAGTTTGGGGGCTGGAATTCTTCTCCCCATAGTTATGTCAAAGGATGAGCCATGGCTTTTCCTAAGACGCCAATGTTTTCTATCGGGATAAGTTGGCGCTTAAATGCGGGCTCATCGTCTAGTTTACACCTCTGGTTGAGAGCGATTTAGTGCGGCAAAGCGTGGTTGGCGGTATCTACACATCTCTTGGAGCTCTCTGGACTTGTTGACAGGGAAAAAAAAGTATTCAAGGATTCTAGCCTACCTCGCAAGGCAGTTCCCCCTCTCTCGTTGTGCGTTACTAAGGATATGAACCTGCATAACATTACCATTATCACTTTGTTTCTTCTATCTATTTAATGCAGCAGTCTCTCCTCAGTCGTGTTGCGAAGGACGTTAAGTTTCATTGGCTTCCCCCTCCCCCCCCCCCCAAAAAAAAACTATTGCTTATATACTACCGCCTTCGGCCCCAATAAATACGTTCATTTCACTTTCTTTGCCGCTGTGGTGGTTGCTTCTTCTGTCGTTGTCTGATCAAACGTTTGATCCTCCCGTCACTACATATTGTTGGTCCTCCTATCGGCTTGCTCCATGTTTCCTCGGACTCCAGGCGACTATACCGGGCCAAACCCGTATGGATCAGGCGGTCATCACCCGGAAGAAGGAATGGATAACTTCTATGAGACTTATCAAGCTCCATGGCCCGGAGTAGAGGCTGTACGTGCGGACTTAATGCCCACGCAGAGACGCCATATACTGACAAGCACCGGTGCTCCACAGTCCCACTATGGAGACGTCAACCACCCTTACAATACCACGGCAGCTTTCCCTTCCAATGCCATCTTAACACCAATCAGTCTTCCCGACAGCTCCTTTGCTCATGCCCGACCTAGCCCGGTTCTCAGTCACCATTCCCAAGAATATGCATACTGCATGGCTGAATCTGTCCCCTCACATGGACTGGGAATTACCGCGCCCTTTCCAAGTGATTTCCCGCGAACTGTAACCGCTGGTCTAGGCCCTGTTCCCGACCCAGATTATGTCTTCAGTGGAGCCGCCCTGTCACCTCCGCCACACCCCGTTAAGCGGACTCGGCGAAGTCCTAAACCAACGGTGGCAGGTCGCGAAGGACCAGTCACCATACTGCCTCATCCGGAAGGGCTTCAACGATTAGAGCAGGAACGCCGGCGAGAGCAAGTTGATCCTCATTCACAACAACGACCTCGGGCCCCCGGCCGAGGGCGACGAGACCCACAAGCCGAAGAAGAGGACGCATTTGTTGAACGGTTACGGGAACAGAACCTAGCATGGAAGCACATCCGGGAGATGTTCAGGGAGAAGTTCAACAAGGACGCGTCGGAGGCCCGCCTACAGATGCGGATGCTGCGCAGGCGCAAAGACCGCTCGGCTCGGTGGGAAGAGAGCGATGTGAGTACGTACATCAAACCTACCTCCTCATCTTGGTCCACTGCTAATTACCAGGTTGTCTAGATCCGATTGCTCATAAGGGCTAGAGAATATTGGGAGAGGGAAAAGTATAATTTAATAGCACAAAAGGTGAGGTCTCATACACAGGCAGCGAGTAGCATTGGTAACCTACCTACTAATCATGAAGGCATTAGATGCACGAGCTAGGGGCAAAGAAACTTTACACAGCACGACAATGTGAGGCACAACTACGGTATCTAGATTCTCGTCGAGAAGGTGACACCTCGCTGTCACGAATAGTGGAAGCACGAAAACGGCCTACGATGAAATCCCCTCGAGGGATTACCCGCGTGACGACTGCCTAGTTTTTTTTTTTTTTTTTTTTTTTTTTTTTTTCCCCTTTTTTTTTTTTTTTTTTTCAGCTGCGTGGATTTACTAGCAAGGACGGAGTTTTGATAACGAGATTATTGCATGACCAGCTAGCGTTTTTTGATGCCTTCTGTTTCATTTCTTCATTTGTTTTATTCTTCAAATCCTTGACCTGTTAGCCCCGACATCTTATCTCAGATACTGGAGATATACCCTGGTTGATCCACCAAATGAAAAGAGTCACCATTCCTACAAATCTCAAGGAAGCTAAAATGCAAAAGTCCCCCAGTAATCTGGTAATCGTAATCAACCCATTCAAGGAACGGTCCCACCATGACAAAGAGAATCCAGGATTCCAAATTAAAAAAAAAAAAAAAAAAAAAAAAAAAAAAAAAAAAAAAAA